GGACGGCACACATTTTGGTTAATATTCGTCATGAAGACGAATATGTAAAACTAAGTTGGGTTCGTATTTAGTATGTAGAAACTGCTTGATAATGGTAGGGAAGTTAAATTTTTATAGTTTTTACATGTAGCAGCACCTTCGCATTGCAATCCGACGAGGCCAATGAAGACGGATCGGTGAGGTGTCGGCATTGTGTGTGGATGGGAGGGACACGTTCCACGAAGGTGAACTGAAATCACCATTTACATTCATCTTAGTGGCGTGTTTACCAGCTTTCCCGACGACAAGACTGAGACTGCAATAAAGGCAGTGCATAATAGGAACAGATTCTAAACTGGGGTTAACTCTAAGTGGATGAGGTTTTGAACTTGCTAATGTTTGCGTACCTATATGAAAATGACGTGAGAACTGAAGACCGGATACACTTTTCTGCAGTTTTTTTTCAATATGCAGGTCGCTATATTCCAGATGGACTTTTGACATCTTGCAGCTTTGACTACCTTACAGGCAACGTCAAAAACTACATACATGTGACAGGGATGTACATTTTTCAATTTCTGATTCCAGTCGGCATAGTTTCGTTCTGCTATATTCAAGTCGTGCTGTTTGTCAAGGGGAAAGCACGTAGAATGGCCAGCTTCAGGCGAACTACCATTTCTGGCAAATTCAACATAATACGGCCATGTAAGTTTTCAACTGCCTTTTTTAAAATGTACCCTCACAATGTGAGTACATATTTTTGTGAAAGCTTCCTGGTAAAAATTCATACGCGCATAAAATCCCCTCATTGCTGCTTGTAATACAGAGGGAATACATTTAGGCATTCCAGTCTTTTGGTTTGTGAGTGTATTTTTGGGCCTCTTAACTGTATTTTTCACACGACACGGAAATCTATCGAGGAAGATTTTGTCTTTTACAGCCCATGGCCGCCGCACCTTTATGCCATATTCTAGATGAAATCAAACGATAGCACCATAGGAATTGCCGCAGAGATCTTAGTCGAAGGCTACAAACGTTCTTTCGATGGGGGGGGCAGCAATCAATTGCCGTTCCTTGCAGCCTTGATGCATTGCAACGATGGCTTCAGATGGTTCTGTATCCAAATTGCAAGTTCTTTCTGTGAAAATTAAATGGGAACTTGAGTGTCGTTCAGGTAAAATACTCTTATGCTGTCAGTTATAGGGTAGTTCGTTGGATGTAGGTGCAGGATGACATACTTTTGCGCATTAAAACCAAGGAGGCATCTCCCGGAGTACATATGTGGACTGCACATATTATTTTGCCAAAATTCCCAGTCGGTTGGACCCTTAATGACATGCCACAGGTTAACTTCGTCGGCAAACATTTTGTTACCGCGGTTCAGTACTCGAAGGTTGTCATTAACATAAAAGACGTAGAGTAAATGGCCGCGAACGGAGCCTTGAGGAACACCATTAACAACGAACACGTCATTTTCATCGCAAAATCTTAGTAAAGCACGCTTCGGTCAGCCAAG